AGCCACACCTGGTCACCAACCTCGTAGTTGCGAGCGTCCTGGCAATGTCGATTGTAAACCTCCTTCATGGCTTCTTTTGCCTGGCGCAGCGCAGATGTGATCTCCTCATGAACCTTCTTGAGATGCTGGGCATATGATGTGGCGGCGGGTACGTGGTCTGTGGCGTGGGGGTTGAGTCCACTGTACGGGTGGCATCCCTCAGAGGCGTAGAACGGTGTTTCGTGAAGCGAGGAATGAACCGTGTTGTTGTATGAAAACTGCGCCGACTTGAGGTACTTGACCCAATTGCTCTGGTGATAATCCACGTAGAGGCGGAGGAAGGTCTTGAGCTCCTGGTTATAGCGTTCGGTAAGTCCGTCTGTCTGTGGATGATACACCGTTGAGGGGTTCCTGACAATGCCAAGTTGGTCCATGAGAGCGCGCGTGAACGAGGAGACAAAGGTAGAGCCATGGTCCATGATAATCTTGCACGGTAGGCCATGTTCACTGTAGACGTGGTCATGGAAAAGTTGGGCGAGCTGGCCTGAGTCCGTAGTATCCGTGCAGGGAATGCAGATGACGTGACGACTAAAGTGGTCGTTGACGTTGAGTACCATGTTGAAGCCTTCACATTTTGGTAAAGGCCCCACAAAGTCCATGGAGATAACCTCAAATGGTCGAGTAGGCGTCTTGTTGGGCTGGAGCGGTGCGTGAGGGCTTTCTCGTCGGTATTTGATGCACTGGCAGAGCTGGCATCCTGCCACATAATATCCTACGTCCTTCCTGATGCTTGGCCACCAATATGTCCGTGTGATGAGCTCTTCTGTCTTGTAGCATCCTGGGTGTCCCACGGCAAGCGAGTCATGGTGTGCCTTGATGATATCCGCACGTAAGGCTTCGTCAGGCGGCACATAGATGCAGTCGTCGTGCGTGAGTAGGCCGTCTGCGTGCTCTTTCCAATGCGGATTCTTGACGAGCAAGGCCAGCTCGACAGATTCCTCTCTCTTGGCGGTGCAGTCTTTAATGCGACGGATCGTGGACTTGTCTTCGCCGGCAAAATTGAGTGCTGTAGTGCAAAGTAGGACACATAAAAACTCGGGTTTGAGCAGGACAACGTCCTGGTTGTCGTTCTCCCCCCTTTCATGTCCTGCTTTGCGTGAAAGCGCGTCGGGATGACCCATGAGGCCGCCGGGCTTGTGGTGGAGCGTAAAGTCGTATTCCTGCATCTCGGTGAACCAGCAGGCTTGGCGACGATGTCGAGCATAGCGTACGCACAGCGGTACAAGCTCACACAGACTTACCTGGATAGATGGATACAGAGATAATTGGGTGGTAGTTGGAAGCAAGCGACCTTAGCGTAGCATTGCAGAGACAGCAGGTATATATACAGGTAGGAGAGCGTGGGAGCCTAGCACGACAGTATGTGGAATGCAGATAAGCCCCTAGTAGGGC